TCTTCAATAGTGGCCTTTTTGAATAGTACTGTTCCTTTTCTTTTCCAACTTTAAATTTATAACTCAATTCAAGATCCAGTTGATTAAATTTTGAAACTCGTCGCAAATGAATTCAGAACTTAGGTTGATGAATTGGAAGAAGTTTCTTCTAATATCGGGAGGACAAATACCATAAGACTAATAATAATTAAGTATTGAACTCATTGCAAATATAAACTTCTCTCGCATTCATATGTATGTGAGTCGGACCTAACTTCATCTTATTTTTCACATTATTTTTTAGGTTGAGGTGCCATTTAATTGGCCCATGCAATCTTAAGAAATACACTTGCCTAATTATTGCCTTCGATTTGAATCCAACTTTTGGAAGACTACATTATGCATGACCTATTTAATTTGTTCCCTTCCCCAACTAATGGGTCACATGAACTGCATCCATATAATGCAACCAGCATTTCTGGTGGGACTCATTAATTATATAGTGATTGAGATAGGCCTAGCGATGATTGCAAAAGAATAAGAAATTCCTCTCGACAACTTTCTCAAACCAAAAGGAAGAAGCAAAGCAAAGCAAAAGCAATAGCTAAAAGGTGTGAATTGAAAATAAAGCAACCCCAAGTACATCTTAAAACTATTGTTTCCCCCTTTTGAGCTTCTTGTGTTAACGCCTTTTCCTTTTGTTACTTTTTGTAAATTATGCCTTTGTCTAACTTTGAGATTCACTGCTCGAATTAGCCACCTCTCCTATACCTTTCTTGCTTTAGATTGGGAAACAGTTGTGCATCTTCATTTGCTAAGAAAAAACGCCACGAATAATTATACAGAATAGTTGTTATTCAGATATTTTTGAGAGAAAATTGACCGGAAAAATCTTGTAAAGAAATGAGAAAATGATTGATGGTTACAATATCTGTTGCGCATTTACGATTATATATGCAAGAAGTGAGTGATAAATTTACATATGCAACCTGTAAAGATAATCAACACTTAAACTAATAACCCAATAGTAAAATGGCGAGCACAAAGCCAGCTAATTATAAATTCAGATATTCTAAGTTCGAACCACCATATATTATATATATAAAATTTATTCAAAACCTACTTTATATGTATGATTTACATGTAATTATACGTATTCGAAATTTATCTTAACACTTTATATATGATGACAGAATAAGTCATGAGACTTTTCCTTTACATTGCTCTTGTCATTGTCTCCGTCCACATCTGTTGGTGGATTCGTAATGTAGAAAAATGGGTACTGGCGGGTAGAGGCAGGAAATGGAGCACAAATTTTACAAAAATTCTAGTCAAATTAGTACATGAATATTGTGATCAACAGCTGGATCCAAGGGCTCTACTATCAAAGCAATGTGAACCGTGAATTGAAGCACACAGGGAAAAGAAAAGAGAGTGTGGGCCAAAAGCTTGAAGTTGGAAAATAATGGAGACAAGCTAAAATAAGTAGATTGTCAAAGCTAGAAAAATGAAATTCATGCATAGGCTTACTTACATAGAGGAGCATAGGGCTCTTTTGGATTGGAGTTAAGTAACAAGCTTGGAATCTTCCCACTCTCAAACAAACACATAAAAGAAGCTTTTTAGTGGAGGACAGCGATTTGAAGCCTCTATACTAAATTCCAAATCGTCCTGTTCCTTGTTCTTGGTGCAGAAGTAACATATAATGTGCTTGAGATTTTAACCAAAACCACTATTTTCATCTGCTTTGGACTCTGATCGGCACGAGTTGCGAACTTGTATAGTGATATTTTTTTTTAAAGTACCATGAGGTGTTTAGATGAGTTTGAGCGCACTTCGACTAATTCCTACTCGTGGAATTGAGTCTGTCGCTGGCCACCAGGTGTTGCAACTGCTGGGATTCGAATTGGGGAGCAAACCCAACCGAACCCCAGAGCCTTACCCAAATGACGGACAAACCACTGAGCCACTCTTGGTGGTTGTGTAGTGTTATTTTGATTGCCTACAAACTTGTGGGAAATGGGGCACATTATTTTCACCAATATGGCTAATTGTACTTGCATATCGTCCAATTGTAAACCACCAAGTTGTTGGATGAGATTGAACTACATTATTGGTGAATAATATAGGTGAAACTTCAGAAGCTGAATCCCCTCTGGACGTGAGGTAGCTGGGCGATTAACATGTGGAAGTCACCCGACTATCTCACATCTCGCAAAACAGAATTCCTATCTTAAACTCAGACATATCTTAAATATAAATTTAACCAAATTCAAGTAGTTAGTTATATAACTAATCAATATTGATTCAATTCAAAGCTTGATCAATTATTTGGAAAAGTCTACCAATTATCCGGTCACATCAACTACACGTAAGTAAAACGAGTTTTCCTCATCATCAGTTGCCTAGTTGTTTTTTCATAGAAAGATTCTTAATGGGGAAATCGAGGAGCAACAACAGGGGCACCCGTACATATGCATTTAAACATTGTTAATTATAATGTGATTAATATTCTATGCATAGTTTTACAGTACTATCTATCGCACCACCATGAATGGACCAACTCACGAGAACCTGATCAGGAGGACCACCAAAGTTTAATTACTTTACTTTGCTGAGGACCACTTTGTTAGGTTTTGGATAATGATGATAATTTGTTGGGATTGGTCAATGGTCCCCCGAATAAGCTTTGTAGAATGATGATGATTGTTCAAGCTGTTCCCCTTCTTGGGGTTTTTCTTCCCCACTTTGTATATGGTAAGTTGTATGTATTAATTGCCAATTGTTAGTGAACTTGTTTACATTTCACATTTCGTATTTAGCATAAAATTCCACTTCGTTTAATGGTTTGGTGCTGAATTGGAACTTAGTCTAAATTAGGCCGAGCCTCGTTTCTTTAAATGAAATTTATAAGATACAATAGGCGAGCATGAGTATGAAATTTAATAAGTCCAATTCCAGTGTTTACAAAACAATTACGAAGTCCTACTATCCTAAACAAAATAAAAGATTATATATTTGTTAGGGCAATTGCGACCTAGCCAGCTACGTACGTAGTTACCTACCCCAGAGGATGCCAAGAAGTAACTTTCAATTATTGAAAATTTCAAGCCCATCGTTCTTACTAGACTTGCGTGTATGATTGATGAGCACATCAAACTTTGAAACCCTAGTGGATCCAATTGGGACGAAGCATATTGTTACAGCTGTCAGCTCTGTACAAACTTACAAAGCATCCCATGCAAAAATGGTGGAGCTAGCTCACACGCAGACACCCACTCACTGTCGTGAGTGAGCTTCCTCAATTCTGCTGCTCTCAACAAACTTAACATCCAAACAATATGGCAAACAAAACACACCCCATGAACGAGGCCAAGAGATAAAAACATGACCCATGACATATCGTTGTCTTGTCTCTTTGCACTCATCAATTCAACATCATGCATGGTTTTTGACATGATATGCCAATGCCATTATACACATTCACGCTTCATCATCATTTCTTAACCTTTAACATCAAACATCTAATTATGTTATTGCAAAAATTGTCCTTCAATTTGTTAGCTGTGAATTAGACTGTAAATTTGAACCGTTAATGTCAAATAAGTTAGTATGAGAATATTATTCGAGATAATAAATTTAAGTGCGTCACTGAATAAAAATGATGAAGTAAGCCTGTTTTGAGATAATAAACACGTTCTGCAAATCATATTGTTAATATGAATTATAGAAACCCGATTCATATACCATATTTAGTGAAAAAAAGCATTATCGATTCGGGATAACGAATACAAACGGTGTTTGAAGAAATTAAGGAAATTAATGTGTCATAAATCCCCAGAACACATCCATTGTATGATGATGATTAATGGTGTACTACTATCAACTACTACAGTCTACAGCTGTAAAGAATGTCGTTACTTCCAATCTAAATAAACCAATACCGCGTTGTTTAATTAGCAGCCTGCTTGGACCCTGGAATTTAGCTCCCAAACCCAATTAATTTACACACCTCCTCCTGCTGCTCTCATCCTCCTCCTACCCTTTCCGCGTAAAAGTGACTTGTTGAAAAAGCACTTTCTTTATTTCCGTTATCAATAACACACTCACAGATGAGATTGACATCAAGATATTATTCAACCCCATGGAGAAGTCAAAAAAAACCTTGGTCCTCTCTTGTTAATAAATTAAACATCATTGTCGCTTTCTTTCTCTTCTTCCTTCAACTTGTTTAAAAGCACTTTTCAACTCACCTCACAGAATGCCTATGTATGCGCAAATGGTTTTACTTTGCTGCAATTTTGTCAAAAGTACCAAAAGCACCCCAAGAGAAAGAATCCAAAACACAGTTCAAATCATCAAGTGAATTATTAAGTGCCCTTTGGTTGTTTTGATATATCACATTCTTTATTTTAGTAAATTTGAGAAAAACACCTTGACAACTACATATTTGATACAAAACCACTTTGAGAAAAATATCCTCAACTGGTGTGTCACTATTTTTCCATTTAAAAGTGCACCAGAGTGTTTTTTTTTAAGTATTGAGCTTAAATGATTTTTTTCTAAAATGTGAAGTTATCAATAGCATATATGTGAACAACCTGAAAGAGTTAATATCTCTATTAGCAAACGTTTTTTAAGGAAAATATTTCCCTCATTAAGTATAAGCTTCTATATTCCTGTCAGTAACAGTGACGTGTGATCGCCATAAAAAATAAAAACAAGTTATTTGGTGATTGTAACGTACGCATTGTTCCCAAATTTAATCGTTTGCATCTGCTCCGTCAATTTAAATCTTGGACGCCAAGTAATTTTGTCTGTATGGTTGGTTTTTTTGCCTTTTTATTCATTTTTCTCAAAACCAGTCAGGGGTAAAATTGTAACACGACCCCCAAATGGCTGACGGAACAAATAAAGCTCTCAAAACAAAAATACCATCCAGTAAATCTACCGACCCGCTAATCACAGATCATTACAATGTATTTACACAAATAACCTTTGTTCAAATTCCCAAACTACCCCTACTCCGGAATCGCACTCAACAACGCCGCACGTCTGTTTCCTCCACTACCCCTCCCCCTCCTCGACGCACCGCCGGCGGGGACCACTCGCCGGCGATCCTTGATCTCCTCGCCGGAAATTATCACCTGCGACAATGAATTGCGGCCACAGCCGCATTTCTCACCCCCACTCTTCATAAGCGCGGAGCTGGCTTTGACGGCCAATGCGGCCATCTCCTCCGCCTGCAATGGATGCTTGAGCCAGCTGAGTGGCAAAGCGAAGTAGAGCTGGCCCGGTTGGAGCTCCTCGTTCTCATTAACGGCCTGAACGATGTCGTCGAAGTCCATCTCGTCCGAGTTGCAGATAAAGGAGGCGGGGTTCTTTTGAAGCACGTAGGAAACCTTTACTGGGTACGGGTATTCTTGTAATTTCCCGTCTTGTAGGATCAGCTTGGCCGTGGCCACTTGGGTCGACCCGGACGAGCTGCAAATACCCATTTTGGATCGAAATCGGGTCTTGGAAGTTTCGGATTTGTGTTTGGATTCTCAGAGAGTTAGAGAGAGAGGAGAGAGAGAGATTAGAGAGAGATATTTGGAGAAGCACGGAGGGTGTGGAGAAGAGAGAGGGGGAATATATAGAGAGAGGAGGGGGGCTCGTAATTTGAACCAGGATGCCACGTCGGAATTTTGTCGTGTAGCTAAGCAATGTTTTTTTCGATAAGTGGGCAGGCCCTGGCCAAAGCCAGGCTGTAAGTTGGTGGTGACAGCTTGTACCGATTTTGTGAGACTTAAGAAATTCGGGTACTTCAGAAATGACCCCCTATCATGATAATATTACAACGACAGGGACTAGCCTCTGTTGTATAGAGACACTAGTTCTGTGCTATTGCATTTTTACTGTGGAAAAGGATATGATTCATGTGATATTATCTTTCGAGTAACAAAGAAAATATCAGTAAAATCTGACTGATAATGCCGGAGACAGTCGCTTATGCACGATTTGCGTTGTACGTGTATGAGTGACTGTCTCAACCCATTGTGAAAATTTGATATATACAAATTATAATCACATAAAAGTGAATCATATCATATAAATTCAATGCACGTGAAAACGAATTACATTCAGATGTTTTTACATAGGCGAAGATTCGGGTTTATAATGTTTGCAATTCATTTTGTACTATCTTGTTTTATGGTTTTGGTATTATTGGACCACCTATGATGGGTTGGTATTGTGAGTGAACGATACGACTTCCAACTAAGTGCCCACTACCCTCTGTGCTTCACTGTGTGTTGAATAGTGCAGTTTCTATAAGTAGGGGAGTGATGCCAAAAGATACTGTAAAAAGGAGGAAAAAAATGGTTTGCTAAACTTGGGAAGGCCTTTCACGAATCGTGGGAGACCCACCTAACCTAAGCATGATGATATTGATCTTTATCTTGATCTTGATGGTACTAATAATATCATCAACTTTATATTTTTGTACAAATATTAATGTATGGCTCCAATTATATTTCCCACATTCCCCTTTGTGTTGGTGTGGGAGAGTTTTTATGATGAGATCAATATAATTTTCCTTTTCAAAGCACAAATCCAAGTGTATTGATATTATAATCATCGTCTTTATTTACTCAAAATTGAAAACCAGAACATGGAAATGTGAAAACCATCTCTTCCCTTGGGTTTGCAAAACAGTCATTTTATATGGGTTTTGAGTATCCATCGGAAAGGAGACCAAAAAAGAGATGCTCACATCAAAAGCGATACCTACAATAATGTGCGCTTACCAAACGTGTTCCAAGTGGATTTTTAACTTTTTTTAAAAGGATTTTTTCTGTTGAGAGTGGCGATAGTATACTAAATTCACACATTGGACAGAAACTAGGACGCGAACCCAGAACCTTTCTTGAAAAAGAGCAATTGCTTCAAATAACTGCATTTGTGGATATTTTTTCATTTTGAACCTTTCTTAGCCTAGAAGATTTTGGTCACTAAAACTTTGGGCTTGTTAGGTTTCACATGCAAATGCGCTACCTTCCTCTTTTATTTTCCCGCTTCCACTTTTTTGTCTTCTTTTCGTAAACCTTGGACTCCACTACTCAAAAAGAACTTTATACATTCTTGAAATATTTGGCAAAAGGCAATACTAATCTAGAGTGACTTCTACCCCTACAACACTAATAACATTTTACATAGAACCAAAAGAAAGATGGCAAATGTAGTGTGTCCCTCCTATTGTATATGAGGTTGAACTCGTACATTCAAGTAGTGTAGAATATCGCCATTGTAAAAGAAAAGTAAAAGAAAGATGGAAAATCTTGATTGTAATTGTAAAATCTAGAACCACTTTCTAATTGTCACATGATATTCACATTGCCAAGACACAAAATATCCCATTCCATACAGATTTTTCATACGGGAGCAGTTGAGTGAGAGGAGAGGAGCCTTGTCACTCAAAAATCCACGGACAAAACTGCAGGTGAAATTGGAAGAGGAAGAGGGTAATTTAACAGAGAGAGAAAGAAAGAGTGAATATAAAGTTGGTGGTAAAAAGAGATTTGAGTGGCTGCTACACTGCAACGTCTGCAAGTGGCAGATTAGGGGAAAATTGGGACAACTCCAAGGGCATGAATCAGAAAGGAAGAATGAAAAGAAGAAAGAAATGGGAAAAAATGAAGAGGAAAACGTGGCATAGTGAGGAGGGTGCAAGGTGCTTCGCTGCAAGGCATGAGGAAGGGCACGTGGAAAAGAAGGGCCTCGGAAAGTGCAACACTCAATCAACAAGTAGCAAAATTATGTGTATATTTGCAAACAATCCGACAAAGGGTGGCGTAAGCTGATCCGGGGGGTCTGCTGGCTCGAGCCCCATCTCTGCAATCTGGATGCTCCATGTATCCCGGTGCCAAGCTTCTTCCTTTTTTGTTTTATTTTTGTTTTAACTTATTCTTCAAATCCATCCAAACTCGGCCGCCCTTTACCGTTTCTATTAGCTAGCTATGCTTTTACTTCACTCTACTATCCTGCTGCCCACACACTACTTCCTGCAATTTAATTACAGTTCTACATTAATGTCCATTGTGCTATGGTAGTATGTATACATGATAAAAATTAACAACAAAACGATGTCCCTTTGTCCTCATCAAGATCAACATGCTATCATCACATTGCATCAACGACGCACTTTTATTTATATTAATAGTTTCGCAACATAACATGTCAAAATTTTCAAAACAATCAAAACAAGATAACATTATAAATCCGTAAATCGGAGATATATGTTTGTCATATAGATCCATTGAGAATGAATTTCTAAGCATATTGTTACATCACCCTTTGATGAGCTAAAAGAGTGTAATTGCAATTGAAAGTGTGATTGGAGGATAGGGGAGCAGGTTGTAAGAAGCTATTATGACATATCAAATTATTCATGTGCTCACAGTAATCCCTCAGACACTAGCAACACATCCAAACTAATAAATTTCTAAAGAAAAGAAGAAAAATGCCATTTTGCCATGCATGTTCTATTGGACTCAATTTAATTGTCAAAATTACACAGAGAGAGAGAGAGAGAGAGAGAGAGAGAGAGAGAGAGAGAGAGAATGATCACCAATTATGGATCCTGTTACTACCAAATAATTGAAATAACATGTTCTATAGAACTGTCTCCAAGGGTTCATACTCCCGACAATACCACACAGGCAATGGAGTTCGTGGAATGTGATGTCTTTTGTTAATTGTTTGTTAGATATGTTTATGTTTTTCATTTTAGTTGGAAGAGCTCGCTAGTTGGCCCCCTTGTATGCTTAATATAATATAATACATCTAAACCCCATGCTTTGTCTGAAAGATTAGCGACTAATTGTTCTCAGCATTATTTTAATAATACTTAATACATGAATGCTACTTTATAGGTTTAATTATTGACATGTCCCTCATCAATTCCCTAACCCTAACCTTTCTTTCCTTGAAGCTTCTTCTGCTCTCCCATCCCCCCACTAAATTCTACAATACACGTGCATGCAGCCTTGTAGGTGCTTTCAAAATCATGGTTTTTTCGACAAAAACAATGTCTTATCACCAATGCCTTTTCTGCCATCTATTGGGCTGGGCTCTACTTTCATTTGGGCTTAGCCCAGATGTATGTGTACTTAATTTTCTGATAATAAACTATTGCTTATGAATTATCAGGGAGACTTCCATTCCATGCATGAATCAATCTGATTCATTAATGAGTATGAATTTAAAACTGTCTTATTTTATTTTTGGCTTGGACGTTTTTTTCTTGTTTGCTAAATCAATTATATTTGATGCAGACATGTTGGCAACACAAACAATGAACCCTAGCAACCGGATAAAAGCAAATCCTACTCAATTATGTGTGGATTATGAATGCAGACAAACCCTTGAAAAGAATCCGATATAACTAATACTAAACTTTTAAAGGCCGGACAACATATCGCTTTAGTATATATTTTTATCATTGCAGAATTTGATAATAATAAAGTTGGCCAATGTCATTACCATGAAAGTTCTTCGATCCAGAGCACTTTATCCATGCATGGTTGTCAAGACCCCACCTCTTATAGCCCCTCAAGATTTGGGAAGACCTCCCTTCCATGGTCAAATTGGTTCTGCATTATCAAAGGGTTGAATGCTAAATAATGCACAAATTTTGAACAGATACAAGGAATTTTTGTCCCCTATCACTCGTATGTATTCGACAAGACAACTGACACCATTAAAAATATAACAAAAAGGAGATACCTTGGATTGGATGTGCCCTTCCTTCTTCTTTCCTTGTTTGGCTCAGTATGCTTTGTAAGATTGTACTTTGGATTTTCTGTTGGCTATATAGCTGCAGAGAAAAAGATTGGATAATGCCCAATAATCCAAAAGTTTCTCTTAATAAATTGGCACACAATTTGACAGAGGGAAAAGGAACAAATATATACTGTGAATTAGTATTACTTACAATGCATTCGATAATATTGAATAAAACTTATAAGGAAGTTCTAGTTGTTCCCATCGGTCTGTAGCTGCTGCACAACCTATGAGCTGCAGCTTGACTGAAGCTCTGAACATATAAAAAGGAAAACAGATTATTCATTCGTCAAGAAAAAAGTAGGGAAAAGAAATGGCCGCAACTGGTTATAAACTTACCCGGAAAAATTTGTGACCTGCATGTTGGTTGTGGTCATCCTTCCAAGTTTTGCTACGCACTCATAGTTTTCAATGTGCCTTTTCACATTTGTTGAATTCGCCTTCTAACATTATTGGCGATGATGCATCACTTAGTATCAGGTTCTTGCTGCATGTTTTCCATGTTAATGATTCTTTTCCTGCGCTAGAAGTAGTCTGAATTCAGTTGCTCAAGCTCTGTTCTGTAATTTTAATTCCACACTGGCATAGGTTAAAGGGAACGAGGAGGCAAGCCTCCCCATCTTCCGCATATCTTGATCATCCGACATGGCATGAATCACCGAACATCCTGAAAGGAAGAAACCAGCTTGTAGAATATATTTCTTCTTGTTTCATAACATATGTCCTACTCAGTTAAGTAGGATTTTCATTAGTTCTGTGATACTTTTAATTGCATAATATCAGCTGCAACTTAATATCTTGGCACATTTACTTTTCACACACTCAACTTAAGAACCCCAAGGATTGAATTTCCACTTCTATACAGTCAGTCAGTAACTAAAAACTAGACCAACATCTTTTCATGTCAGTTGGGAGTAGCTAATCACTTCACGATTTAGACTATACGAAGAAATCTTCAACTTGATTTTCAAAAGCAAAGTAGTTAATGCGAGTTTCTCCACAATTATTTTGGTACAAAAAACACAAGCAGTCAATGCCTGTTTGCAAGTCATTAAAAAGTGTAATAAATATCAGAGGGTTTAAGGGTTTTAACTTACTGATACAGCAGTACTACAATTCCTCTATATCCAAAAATGCACTTGGAGCATACCCAGTAGACTTTAGATGATCCGTTAATTGATCAAGCATGGAGTATATACTGCTTGAAGTTTCATGTCTCTTGTCATCAACCATAAATTCATAAAAACAGCCATCAATTTCAATGGAGCTCACTGCTCTACTCTTTATGACTCCACCATCTTTTATTAGTTTCCTGATCTTCTTAACATCTTCCCATCTGTGAGCTTCACCAAATATGTTCGAGAGAAGTACATAAAGCCCAGAACCATGTCCTTCCAACTCTAAAAGCTGCTTCAGAATTTGTTTGCCTAAATCTACATTTCCATGGATCCTACAAGCACCAAGCAAAGCACCCCAAATAACAATATCGGGCTTCATTGGCATTCCTATTAACAGCCGAATTGCTTCTTCCAAAAACCCCCCTCGCCCCAGCAGATCAACCATACAAGCATAGTGCTCAATTTCAGGTGATATTCTGTAAATAGACTCCATTCTTTCAAAGTAATATCGCCCCATGTCTAGAAGACCGCTGTGACTACAAGCAGAAAGCAATCCAGTGAAGGTGATCTCATCGGGCCAGATTCCACCTGCTTGCATCTGTTTGAATATCCTAATTGCTTCGAATCCACAACCGTGCAGTGCAAGGGCCCCAATGATAACATTCCATGATACTACATTCTTTTCTGTTATCTGAGTAAAGAGGTCCATGGCGATTCCAACAGCACCACATTTTGCATACATGTCTATAAGGGAATTAAAAAGAGTTACACTGGGTTCTACATTGCTGTTGCAAATGTAATTGTGGGTTTTCTTTCCAATGACCAAATCACCAATTTGACTACAGGCTGAAAGGATGAAAACCAAGGTAGCTTCATCAGGCAACGCACCAGAATTAAGCATTTTTTGGAAGAGATCCAAGGCCGCCCTGCATTGGCCTTCTCGGACATAATATGAAATCATTGAATTCCATGAAACCACATTTTTCAGTGGCATCTGATCAAAAAATTCCTGGGCAAATTCAATGAGCCCATGTTTAGCATATGCACTAACCATTGACGTCCATGAAACCACATTTTTGTGAGTCATTCGATAAAAAATCGTTTGTGCCAAGTGCAAATGGCCACACTTAGCATACATATCCAGAAGAGCATTTCTCAGAATTTGATCAACTTCAATCCCACTAACCTCAATATAAAGATGCACATACCGTCCCAATTCTAAATCACAGGACTGTGAACAAACAGAAAGTAAATTAACCAAGGTGAACTTATCAGGCCCAACCCCCAAATCTCTCATCTCCCTAAACAATAAAAAAGCTCCCTTGCATGAACCCATTCTAGCATACCTGCCTATCATCGAATTCCACGAAACCAGACTCCTCACGGACATATCGTCAAACACATTCCGAGCGCTCCGAATCGACCCACAAACACCGTAGACATTAATAAGAGCATTTTGCACGCAAACTTGAGACCCAATTCCTATTTTAATTGCCTGACCATGAACAACCACAGCTTCCCAATACGCAGACTGGCCAGCACAAACCTTAAGAACAAAGGGTAACGTAAACTCGTTCGGCGAAAGTCCTGAACGAACCATTTGGCAGTACAGCGAGAAAGCCTTAAATGGGTCATCACTATTTGAGTAGCCTCTTATGAGACTATTGTACATAAACTTATTGGGTTCATGAACATGGTCGAACAAAAGCTGTGCGTAGTGGAGGTTGCCGGCGTGGTTGACGGAGCAAAAGGAGATGAATTTTCCGAGGGTGAGGTTTTCATTGGTGAGGCTATGGAGGATGATTTGGGCATGGAGTTGCTTGAGTTCTCTCATGGAGGAGCATTGCTCTAGGAGGTGGTGCAGGGTTTGGTGTGTGGGGCTCTTGAAATTTTGGGTGAAATTGGTGGGATTTTGAGGGACAGTGATGTGCAGAGAGTGATGGTGAAAGAGAGGGTTTTTGAGGCGGGAAACAACGGTCGGGCATTTGGCGGTGAAGGACATGGCGGTTGGGCATTTGGTTTTGAGGGAATGGTAGATATAACGGTTTTTTGAAATTATATATACCATGTTATTAGAAATATAAAGGTCGGGGGGTGCCATTTGGACTAACGGTTATTTATTTATTTAATCATAGACTAATTAGAAAGAGAAATTCTTTCGTCAATCCGTCATTTAATTAGACTAATTTGAATCATTAATCATGTGAATTTTAATTTTAATGTGTGATTTTAAATTGATAATTTATAAACATAACATGTCAAATTCGGTGATGCGATGCCACATAAACAGTATGTTCTTAACACAATGACCATATAATAAGGCATCTATTAAGCATTTTCTTGCTTTTCTATAAAACATAAATCATGTCAATCAAATCCTCTAAGGCAGGCAGGAATTAATGCTGAAATATGTAACGCTTCTTGCCAAAATAGTTACACAAGGTGGGAATTTGCACGTATAAAGATTTGAGGAGTAGGGTTTCAGGCATAAATGTTACCATATACAAGCAAACCGAAAAAAGGTGATTTCTTTTTTCTTCTATTTGTTCAACAAAATACAATTCAATAGAATAACTTTGTAAATCTTTAAGCTTCATTTGTTTCTCCCAAAATTTCTGCACTTGACATAATTCTTTTAATCTTGGCAGAGTTCATTTGCAGTATATCACAACAGCCACCGGATCTTTACAAAGAAGGAAGAAGCCAAAGATTGAACAGAGCGGAACCGAGTGAAAGGAACCAAGAAAGGAAAGCCATTGCAGCGGATAACTGATATCTAGTACATAACTTTCCCGGGCAGTACGATTCATCGGAATCAAGTAGGAGATTTGTGGTACTAGCCGTTGAGCAGGCTGCAGCGAGTGAGAGATACGATAAGGCCTGTAATAAAATGAACAAGCATTTGTTTTACACTTGGGAGAAGGAAGAAACTGCAAAGTTCTTCATGAAATAAACAAATCTATGAAAGCCGCATACCAAGTCTCCTAGAATGATGATTAGAAGTATTCTTGGTTGACGAGGCAAACATTTAACAAAGACAGAGTAGGCATCCGCTATCACCAAAGTCATGCCCCATGGAACTACCAAACCCATTACTGTCACCAAATAACTGCAGCATCAACAAAGCAATGTAAGGATTACTAAGATTAATAGAAGAATTTCTTGTGACCAAGAGTACTTTCATCTCATACATTGATTTTACAGCTTAGCAAAGAGAAAAAACCAACAATGTTGTCAAAGTGTCTTTTGGCTTTGTTTGGCTTTAAGGGTGGACAATTTCTTAAACCTCAAACTCCAGAACCCACTCAACACCAATAGAGAGACTATTGATCAGGAGTAGGTCAAGAAAACGGGAATCAATACAAGTACAAACAGGGTTAGACTTCTTTGGAAATATTATTAGTTTAGATCCTAGAACTTGATTCACAGAGACTAAATTAATGAATTTAGAAACATCAATGCCACATACATGCAAATTAGACTTACGGGAAAAAAGTCAACTAAGAGCAGTTGAAACTACATGAATTTCAATTTGGCGATATTTTTTTCTTCAGGAAAAAATGCTCAGGTTACAATTTCAGAGTAGTAAAATTGGACTACATTCTCCCATTTTCTCTTTCTTTCTATTTCCCAAACACATTAGTGTACATGGTTTAGAAAAAAATCAAGCCCCCAATTTTGGCAAATGTTGTCTCAGACATATATGCCTAAAGCTGTAGACAGGATGTTATAGCTAATGAAATCTTATTGCATTATCATGAAAGTTAACACTTCAAAGTTTGAAGGCTGGGAGATTTGGCTTCCAACTGTCTGTAAACCAGATTTCACATCTTAAGGGATACACACCAGATAATTATATGTTAATGATCAACAATGTTCTAACCAGAATTCAAAGCTGTTGAAAACCGAAAATAACACAACCTAACTTTGATTCAAACGTATACAGACAAAGTAAACCTTCCCATGTTCATATTGTCTAGTCAAAATTTTCGAAATTCAATACTAGACACCTTCTTCTCTAGAACAATTCTCAAAATATTTGCTTGCTTGCTAGTTGCTCAAAAAGTCAAAATTCAGAGAGAATAAACCAAAACCAATCATCTGGACAGTTTCCAATAGCGCACCAAGGTAACAAAAAATAATTTCCATCAAATTCAAAAACAAAGATATGGGTACTGAAGAACAAGATAGGAACACAAAAGGGTTGGATGAAATTCAACTAAAAAAAGCCAAAGTTGAGGAATTTTGAAACTACCAGAAAGCTGTGTAGCTGTAGAACTGGATGTCCAAGCACATGAAGAGAAGGGAGGCAGTGGAGAAGATGGTCTGGCCGAAGCGCAGAGCCAAGCTGGCACTGGTGCCCAATGACCCTGGCAATTCGTCCATGCTTGCATGCAGCAGCAGCAGCAGCCTTCTCTACAAGGACCCTTCATGGTAATTCAAGATTCAGCCACATGACCAAATTCTTATTGTCAATGAAAGAGAGATTGGGAAATGAACAAAATGGATGTGAGAAAATGAAATCCCAGCCAATTGAGGGAAACGGGAATTGGGTTTTGAGAGAAGAAAAGACTTGTTGAAGAGTTGGAAAAATGGCAACAAGTAATCGTTTTGGTGAATTGTGAAGGAAAAGGTCTGTTTTTTAGAAAAGAAAAATGGAAAGATAGTGAAAGAAAGGGACGTAAGGGGTACGCAGCTTTGGGTGGGTTTTGGCTTTGGCTTTGGCATCTTCTTCCTCTTGAGGGCATAATGGTTATGTTCTTCTCCGGCAGGATGGGTTGGGTTGGGTGTGTGGTATTAGCAAAATGCCAATAATTTCAAGCACCTTATCATAAGTTATATATATATATATTAAATACAACCGATAATTTAAACTATAAAATAAATAAATAAATAAATAAATAATGGAATTATGGGATTGCATTCATAAAAAAATCACTAACCACAAAGGGCCATTACAATAACGGTGAGATCTAACATCAAAATTAAGACTTCTCCACTAACGATCAAGCATGGTCGAAGAAACTCTAACATAGACATCCCAACTAAGAGTACAAATTTAGAACAACTAAAAAGATATAAAGCTTGAAAAAATCAAGCCATAACAATACAAATATAACTCTCACAAAGGAGAGGTAAAAAACTCTCACAATGGAGAAGTGAAAAACTTTCACAAAAGAAGATGTGAAAATTACATAGAAAACCCAAAGATTCTCTGCAACTTATTCCAAACACGAAGAGATGTATCTGCCTATGAAGAGTGCAGGAAAATCATTACAAAACGAAGACAAATAGGGAAAACCTTCTGTCTTTGAAAATGGGGGAAAAGAGGATAAGGGAGGAAGAGAGGGGAACAAAGGCTTCCCCCTCAAAGTGAAAACGGTTGTAGAATGTTTTTTTGGGAGAGAGGGGGCTAGGGTTTTTGTCTTCAAAATTATAGGTTTAGATTAATCTTTTATGGTCTCATCTCTAAACATTCAACTAAGAGATATTTTTGTTGAACTACCAACTTCTTCTTCTTCTTCTTTTTTCTCATTACTTTCCGTTTGGATGAGGGAAAATAACTCGAAATTTAGCTAAAAGTCGGGAATTTAAGTGGAGAAATTGACAATTCTCTTGTTTGGAAACTTAAGCGCGAAATTTATTAAATGACGCGCAGAAAAAATAGCTAAATTCCCGAGTTTAATTTCCACCAAAATAGGCCTCATTTCACAATTTTCAGAGTACCATCTACAAAATTATGTCATTTACAAAATTCGACATACATAAATCAAAATATTGAAATCTTCAATTGCCAAAAATTGAAATGATGGAAATCTAAATTCTATCATTTTAGAATTCTATGTCATTTTCAATTCCTTCATCCATATGATGGAAACCCCCTAATTCATTTGGTGTAATACTACTTTTTAATTCCTAAGTTTCAATTATTAGAGATGCATGGTACTTGAATTTATTTAATACATATGGTCATAGGGTCTACTCTTAAGGTTTTGTATTGGAGCAAGAAAGCCAATTGTGATTGTTTTTCTAGTTAAAGAAAAGTATGAGCATTATTTTGAAAAGTCTTTGCAACTTTTGTCCATCCACGTTTTTTGCCAAAACCGCATCAATTTTCCTAATAGGTATTATTATAAAATTCAGATTAAAAAAACCCATATGTATAATTTAATATAGCTACGAAATATTTAAATAAATAAATGCCTGCAGCTTTGCATCTCTCAACTCTCTCATATAAAATTGTCTCGTATGTCAAGGCTCAATACCTAACCGTTGGTCACTTTCATAGTAAGACTCCGAGTTCTTTCAGTTGAGAGTTTACAATTAAATATTGGTGATACATAACTTTCAAGTGTTGCCTTGCCACACAAAAGTTTGGTGATTGTAGCTCCACTTTCTTAATATCTTGACAATTGTTCAGAGAATATCACACAGTAATATGGATCATATCACATGCCACTCAGCCCAAGTATCCAATTTGTGTGGTTCACTATCCATATAAAAGGATATGAGAAAGCAAATTAGCTACAGTGAAAGAAACATCATGAACAGTATGAACCTTATTTGGATGGCCATGCTTTTGTTTAGGTTTTTCTTTTTCTTTTTCCATGGAAACCTACTAGATCCCAAGCCAAACCCATCTCAAATATTCATACTACAATAATTTTGATCACAATTTTCAGGCTCAACTTTGCGATCATTGAAGCTGTGGAGCTTTGGAATAATTGAGAGATTTTCATAATAATAGGGCATGATAATATACAAGAAAGATAATGATCTCAATGATCTGAGTGCATGTCCAATTGGGTTACAAAGAAAGTTCAGCAAGACCTTCACTTTTATAGCAAAATCTGAAACCCAGAATGAGTAAGTACATCAATACATACAGGAAGTTTATTAAGAGGCCTACTTAATCAAGCTGAGCATACCAGACTCCCTGGATTTTGACATCCTTTGGAGTCTTTGCTCCCAAATCAGTATCAGATGGCTGGATGCTCTCAAACACTCCAATCAACTCTCCACTCTCAGGCTTGCTCTTGGTCACACTCAGTGTGATCTTCCCTTTTGATGAAGCAGTATTCTTGATGTTCTCCTTGGCCAACTCCTCCTCATCTCCTCTGCCTCCTGCTGGCAATGCAATGGCGTTGTCATAACCAGTGGAGCCTCCTCTACCCTTTGGGTCCAAGAAAGAAGAACCGCGGTACGATGGCACTAGAAACTCCCCTCCAAAGTTTTCGGGTTTGCCTGAGGCTACAAGCTGTTTGATGGTGAAGAGGAAAGGGACACGCTCGCCTCCGGGGAGCTGGACTGTGACTGCAGCATAGTCAATCCCATCTTTCTCCTCAAACTTGAGAGTGCCATCTGGGGACACTTCGAAAGGCCCTTCGATCTCATCGAGGGTGTAGGTTAGACGGGTCATCAGCTTGGTGTTTTGGAACTCTGGTGGAGCATTCTTGCTCACACTGTCTGCCTTGACAGTGAAGGATGTGGGCTCTAGGCAGAACTTCTTGGCAGTGTACTTGCCCGGCTTGAAGGCGAAGGCTTCTAACCCTCCATCAATTGTTGGGCATTGGTTTGCAGTTCCTGTCCCCTTCACTTCCAAGTATGTCTTGCTCTGAATTTCATCAAAGGTCAGCCTCTTTGGAACTCCCTCTGCACCTGCTCCCTGGAAACACAAGTGGTGGCCAACAATGATAAAATGTTAATCACCATTCATCACCACCAAAATTGAACTGAAATCTAACAACTACAGTTATATTATGTTGTCAAACTGTGGATCTAAATTGTTTATGTGAGATCCATCGCGCACAACGATAGAAAATCCGATGATTATGTTATCAAATTGTGAATCTAAACTCATCATATCAGATCGACTTATGCCCAAATGATGTCCCATTCAGAGTGTCATTCTAGCAACATAACTTGTCAAATATCTAGCATGCCACAGAGAACATCTGAAACCTTTGCATATACAACAGGTACCACAAACTAATCTATATCCCTCTAAACCATAGAAAGTTCATACCCTATACACATACGTAATAAAGATAATAAAATTCATCCTTGTTCTTCTTTTGTACAGTTCTAAGCACATGAAGCAAGAAACTAATCAAGCAGTGAAATGAAATTAAGTAGCATACCGAGACGACGAGGGCAGAAGTAGCAAGAGCAAAGCCAGCAATCTTGGAGGCATCAACACACTTGTGAGCAAAGTCCTTGAGATCAGACTGCAGAGAGCAAGTGAGCCTAGCAGAGGCAGATGGTTCCAAGCCAAAGGCCTTGGAGACATTCTGGGAGGACCTGAGCTGAAGGCTGGTCCTTGCCGGCGCGCCCACCTTGGTGGGCTGCATAAGCGTAGCAGCTGCTTGGAGTGAGGCTGCCATAGTGGTGTTGTTTTGCAGTTCCAATGTGATCTCTGTGTTTGAAACAGAGTATTTGGAAGAGTTTTTGTGTGGCAATTGGGGAGTTATTTGGTGGGCTTTGGAGTGAGTTGGATAATGGATAGGATAAGGCTTGCTCTCTCATTGGTTGAATGAAGGTAATGAGTTTAGATGTGTTGTTTGCCAAGTGGCAAGTTTCTTGTTTGGGATAAAGATACTGGTGGTCAGATGAGCATGGTCATATCCTTTCCCTCCTACTCCACATATTATCAATGTTTGATTTTGTCTACAATGTAGACTTTTGCAAGTATAGTACAAAGGAAGGGGAATGTGACATTAATCATTCAGAAAACCAGAAAAAGAAAAGAAAAGTGATAAAAAATGAAAGCAGCCGGTTTCGAACCTGCAACTCAGAGTTGAAAAGGCTCGCTTAAACCAACTCAGCTAAATAATATCATACCCAAACAGAGATAAAGGTTTTTATAAGAGTAAAAGCAACGGACATGTAGGAAGCAAAAAATTGTTAAAAAGTTGGCCCATGCAGGTCTCGAACCTGCGACCTTCGCGTTATTAGCACGACGCTCTAACCAGCTGAGCTAATAGGCCTTGATGACGAATACCTTTCATTGTAGCTATTAATAGATCCTTTGTACAGTAATTGGCCTTGCGTAACAAAAATCTTCCTCTGCTCATACAAAAAATAGTAATCTTGTATTCTACAGAGTTTGCTTTAGAAAATTCCATTCTTCCTAATTACAGATGAAATCCAGAGAGAAAGGAGAAGTCAGTTCAACTTGGTCATGGGTAATATAGCTAATGGTACAAGAAATTATTTGGAGTTTTTCCTTTTTTAATGAACAAAAGTTTAGGAAAGGGAGGCTATCCCATCCCAAAGTCAGGTAGCCTCTTTGAGGACTTACAGAGGAGTTCTTAACCGATTTTTTGTTTTTACAGATTACACACTAAGACAAGTTGTCGGCAGCATCACTCACACCTAGAACTTGCATTCTGTTTTAGCTTAATTTCTTAAAAGTTTTCATTCATCCCAGCCTTGTCATTCGAGATCATCCATAGCATTTTAGGTCACCTCCTTAGTTTCAGGAATCCAGAGATCATCCATAGCATTTTAGGTCACTTCCTTAATTTCAGGAATCCAAGATCACTCATGATACACCTTCGAGATTTGAGATCATCCATGTCATATTTTTATGAATCCAAATTCAACCTCTGTTTGAAACTATTTTGTTAATTTCTTAAGTGGTCTTAAAATTAATTTACTTTAATTTATAGTGTCAATCAGAATAATCACATTTCATCATCGGAATTCTTGACAGTTTCAGCCGGACTTGTATCCATATTGCATGGTTTGTAACCCACAGATTTGATGCTGATTGTTAACAGATCATAGATTCAGAAACAATTAACACTGAAAAACAGAAGACCAAAAACAGAGAGAGAGTGACAGAGAAGCTCAAAAGTGCTTGAAACAAAATCATCGGTGCTCCTCAATGTACACATGAGAGTGATACTGAGTTTATCATCATCGCTACATCATCCTTCTCTCTCTACACTTGAGGAACACCAAAACCCAGTTCCCACAAAGAAAAAAACAAAAATTTGTCCTTTTCAAAGAGAAAATCGAAAGCTTTTTATATCAAAATCACACGAAAACAAAATATTAAAACTTTAATCAGAAGGGAAATTAGAATTTGATGAGCAGGCATTCAGTATGAGTAGGAGGTAAGTAAATTCATCACAAATGAATATCAGATGATACACATCATCACCATGCCTGCCTTGAAATCGTCAAAACAAAATAATCCAGACAAACCCAGAAAATATTTATTTTAAAAAAAGGAAGAAAGATTGAAAATAATTGTAAATTGGGCATTATTCTCTCAGACAAATGCCTCGTTTTGTCGTCACGATTTTATATATGAATGGATCGGACTCGTCATCATTGTTGTTCATCACCGAGAATCCCCAACACACACTTCAAAAACTCAGATTTCAGAATCAAAATAAAGATAAAACAAAGGGAGGAAGATATTTTGAGAATAACAAAGCAAACATCTATGGAAAATCAAAGCAGAATGATTAGCCTATGACTGCGACGACGCAGAGCAAAAGAAAGAGCAAAACGGAAGAGCGAATTGGAGAAGGTTGATTTCGACTTGCGATGGTCTCCGTTACTCAATTCGTGTGTTGCTTTTATAGGCCTCAGTGAGGCTGTTTAGGGTTAGGGTTTTGGGTTTTCGCGGTGCAGGAATTTACGAATATGCCATCCTTGACTGAACGCAACCGTGGGCCCTAGATTTAAAGTTTAAACTTGTACGTATGGGCTAATAAATTTTGGGCCTTGCCCGCTTTTAGGCGCCTCAAGTAAATCCCCTGCCTGTAAATAATATATACACCCAAATACATAAACAACAAAAAGAAAATCACATTTTTAGGCGGTTTTATATGAGTGCGGTTTTACAAAAGTTGAATCCAAAAAAAATGTTGAGAAAATTCTTAACCTGAACTGCCTAGCAAGCAATTTTTTTGACAAAATGGAATTCTAAACTGAATGGAGGGGGATTTAAACTCGAGTGTATGAGATCAGGCACACTATTTAGCTAACTGGCTTAATCCACATATGCAATGCCCCTAACATTTGTATATATATACAATTGAGTCTGAAAGATGATCGATGATAAAACTGTAAAATCACACAAGAACACTGGGTTTATGTGATTCACCAAATTCCGTTGGAAGGAGTTTATGACTACGTCCATGGGTTTGTATTTGGATTCACTATAACTTGTGTTACATTATACGAGTACGTGGGCTAAGCGTGAGACCAAAACAATGGTATGATACTAACAAAATTATCGATGACAGTTTCATTAATCAATTGGAGGGAATATGTTTCATGATGCAATGTCCAAAAGGGTGTTCATTGGGTGTTCATTGGGAGAAGACAGAAACAGCTGACAATTGAGAGATTTTGGTATTCCAAAAATGTTTTACTTTGAATGTTCCTGATTCACTAAATGAAGACTCAGTGACTCAGTCCACAGAGAGATAATGTTCCTTTCTATATTTCAGACCTTTTTTTCTGGACTGCATATATTTCAGTCTTGCGTATTCAAATTTATGGGAGTAGAAGCAGAAACCAAATTTTGATCAACAGATAGAATTGCCACTGAAATCCAATTCTTATAAAGAGAAGATGGGAGATATGCTGTTTGCAAGTTGCAGCACATGAACAATTGGTAGAAACTGTTGTTTACTACAATGCTTAGATGAAATGGAGAACCAATGCCCAAACAGGGTAGACTAAGAGAAGGATAATGCCTAGAGTGTTTGATATTCCATGGCTTTGTGTGAAGGAATTTCTGAAGCCACCTGATGCCCGGATGTGCTCTTGCAGCAGGTAACAACCAATGAGAAGACATATCAAGACACCAACCCAGCCGTCCTTCAATGTGTGCGCGAAAAAGTTCGGAGCCACAACAAGAAGAAGGATCAGCGAACCGGGCATCTGTAGCCAATCTGCAATGAAATTAGGATCATAGAACAAGGCTATGATTTGAAGACTAATACAAAAACCATAATGCTTATAATTTTTTTTTGGATAAAAGTTGAGGTTGTGAAGGCTAATATATTTGGGACAAAGCAACATAAGTACGTACAACTGAGAAGGATAGAGAAAAATCAGTGCAGTGACTTGAGCCTATACCTGGGAAATGTCTTGGGAAGAAAAGCCTCAGTACAACAGCAATAAAAGCAATCCATTTTCCAACCTCTCCTCTGCATTATATTGAAGAAATGTCAATGAGTTGAGATTATTAGAACAAAAGAAGGATGTGAAAAGCAAACAAGAAAATGTGCACCAATAAGAGAAACTATCACCTTAGGAGGTTGAAGAGCACTGAAGGAAGGCTGAAGAAAATGTAAGGGATTAAAAGCGAAGTCAGCATATTTGTTCTCCAGTTGGTTCGATCCAATATCAACAGATATCTGCAGCATTGAAAATACTTTCTCAGACAAATTTTGTACTAGTGAACATAATCTAACCTGGAAGTTTATGTGCTCTTGCAGCAGGTAACAGCCAATGGGAAGAAGCAATCGAGGCAAATATGCAGGGCATATTATATTATACAGATGGAATTGCTAACTGATGATTGAATCAATTTAGGCAAGTGATAGGACGTCACAGACAGTGTTCAGTAATTTGTTGTCAACAACTGAAGCCCCTTGATCGTATGCTTTGAATCAAGGGCTAATTATATGGAGAAAACAAATAAATTCTAAACAGCAACAATTAAACTGAGTCTGAGTGAAAATAACACCACCAAAATGCAAGACAGTCCAAAACAGTTCTTAACATTCTTTTGGTGTCCAAGCAAGGACTAGATATTGAGCATTGCCATCTTGTACAGCACTAAAGGGCTCAACTTGGGAGGGAATTTCATGTAAAGCTTGTACCCTATCCAATGAAGTAGCCCATGGAACCAGAAACTCATTGATATCAGAATGGATATCCAAGACCCGACTTAGTGAATCACTTCCAGGCTGGCATTAAATCTTTCTCGTGCCAGTGGCTCTTGTGCGCCCCATTTATGCTAAGTCTGAGTTATAGGCTTACATCAATGGAAATAGACATCAGAATGGACAAAATTATGTGTTGGTGCATCCAACTAAAACAGTAGGGTTTGGGGCACATATTTTTGATCTGTTGAGCCCTACTTGGCCACAAGCTAATCTGTTTGAACTTATTTCATACCCAAAAACAAAAAGTAAATCAATTCATGGCTTACTTGTTCATGTCAATCAATGGCTTTCTAGACTATTGACCATATAAAAACTTTAGATTATATGGGATTTAGGTCACAGCTAAAGACAGGATGAAATGGGCCTCTGGAATCAGAAAAACTTGTATGAAACATATTGCCACGTGGAAAAGTTATCATGCTTGGCATGCCACGGGAGATAACAAAATAGTGTTATCCCCTTTC